TACTTTCTTCAGGCTGATCCGAGACTGACTGTCTCTCGTCGAAGCTGGGCTATTTATAACCTTGGCCGCTGCTAGGCAAATGAACCCTCTGTTATAACCATGGAGACTCCTGTTAGAACTACAATGGAGCAATTGTTTCCTATGCAACGGTCTATACTAGAGTTTCCATAGAAGTTACTCCTCTGGAGTCCAGACACGTTACAATACATACACATATAATGTCTGAAATGCACAATGTACACAATGTTCGTGGCTTGCTGTGTAAATAATAATAAAGGAACAAACACAGACAATACTAAGAATCTCCTTTCTCAAGATAGACAGGCAGCACAAGATCAGCCACCTCCAAGAAAGACAGGAGAATTGACATGAACCTGCATGGTTTATAAAAATTTTAATCTTAAACAACAAAGTTTTTAAGAAACTTTAAAAATTTTAATACCAGGAAGGCTGCTGTGACTGTGAAAAGTTTAACATTGTGTATTTCAGACATTATATGTGTATGTATATAATTTAACACCTATTGTAATAGTAGTTTCCGGAAAAAGTATTGATGTCCTCTGAAGATGATCCGTAGGGATCGAAACATGTAAGGGAGATGAGTTTTCAAGTGATAAAACTTAAATAGTCACACTGGACGGTGTTATTTTTGTCTTTGTCCTTTGATGTGTTTTGTATTCTTGAGGATTGGGAGTTTTGTTTAATAAATACAGTTTTCCATGGATCACAAAAATGATGTGTTTATGGGCATAAATACATTAAGTGCGCAATCTTAAGTGCCTTTCCCTTACTATGTTCCAAAAATTGGCCCTCATATTATTTTGGTATTTATAGGCATATTAAATTAGGATCTTCAAACATACTCCATATTTGTTGCTAGCTTACATATGAATGTTTCAGATTCAGTCCAGGTGATGAAAGTCTTGTATATTCTGCATCTTCTGATGGCACAATCAAACTTTGGGATCTAAGAATCGGAAACCAAAGTGCTAAAGAATTCAAAGGTACCTGTTTGTATTGTGTAAACAGTATTTCTGTCAAAATGAATGACATTTGAAACTTTTTTCTGGGTAATCACCACTGTCATTTTACCCTTACATTTAAGTGAGGTTTGCCATACAGTAAACCATTTCCATGTGTCTTATCCCCCATCGTCTCTTTTATTTTGCTTCTTCCCTTTCCTTTTACCTCTAACTTAATTACCTCACACATTCGTATGTTGGAAATATAGTTACGAAGAGCTGAAATTGATATTATAAGGTGAATTGTTACTATTTTGATGCCCTGTTTGACAGTTTTTTGAAGATTAAGAACATTGTGATTTCAGATGATACAGAAGATTCTGAAAAGTTGAAGCCACTGTCAGATTTTGATATTGCTGCCGATGGTCGTTTTATATGTGGTGGAACAGAGCTTATACATGACGATGCATTTCTTCTGTTCTGGGATATACGTTCAACAAATCTTCTCGGTGGATACTGGGAGTCGCACACTGATGACATTACACAGGTTAGTAGCTGTCTGACAAACAGTCATTCACTTGAAACACATTATGTAGGTACAGCATGTACTGAATGTAAGTTGATGTTTTACAAATGTTAATATCAACTTCAGCACAGACCCTGTTGATTTGTTGGTAGTGCAGTCTAGCTGTGCATGTATCTTGGATGTGCGGAAACAGAATATGCTTTCAGAATATTGGAGGGGAAACTTCTTCAAATCACATAGTAGATCAGAACAGTAACAGTAAGCAATGCAGCTATCAGAACTGGTTCAGGATTGTATCCAGTAACTGAATTTGGCACTAGCAGTATTGAGCTTTAGGATTTTGTTATGATAGAGTTAGTTACTGGATGGCTGGATTGAGTATTGTTGATATGGTTTATATTGCAAGTCTGTTCTCATTTCTTGACTCTACTACTACTTGGGGACATAGATGCATATATCCCTGCTTCAGCTGTTGCATTCACGGTGCTCCCAATGTGGAATTGGGTGTCCAAGCTTATCTTTCAGCAAGAAAAGACTGAATCTCTAAAGTAACAAATGTTTAATAACAGTTAAACCTAAATTCATGACATACAGTAGCAGTAAAAAATAAAGAAGACTCAAACCATTACTTCAGTATTTCAGTTGTGCATCTGCAACAAAATTATGCCCTTGACCACCTTGGTCAGTCCAGACTTACTCGCTCACTTACTTACTCACTCACTCACTCACACACTCACTCACTCACTCACACACTCACTCACTCACCCACCCACTCACTCACTCACTCACTCACTCATGGAGCTGAGCCCTTCTTGAGGAGCTGCCAATTCTGCAGCTACTCAAGAATTTCCCAGCCTTTTATGGAACCAGAAGGTTCATCACCGTGTTCACAAGAGCCCTCCACTGGTCCCTATCTTGAGCCAGATCTATCCAATCAATACCATCCTATCCTATCTCTCTAAGATCCATTCTAATATTGTCCACCCACCTACACCTTGGTCTTCCCTGTGGTCTCTTTCCTTCTGGCTTTCCCACAAATATCCTATACGCATTCCTCGTCTCCCCCATTTGTGCTACATGACCTGCCCACCTCATCCTCCTTGACTTGATCATTCTAATTATACTTGGAGAAGAGTACGAGTTGTGAAGCTCCTCATTATGCAGTTTTCTCCAAACTCCTGTGACTTCATATCTCTTTGGTCCAAATATTCTCCTCAGCACCTTGTTCTCAAACATCCTCAGTTTATGTTTCTCCCTTAATGTCAGAGACCAAGTTTCACACCCATACAGAACCACAGGCATAATTATAGTTTTGTATATTCTAATTTTTATGTTTTTTGGTTGGTCCAGACTGGAAAAAAAAATACATAAAGGAACCACACAGAAATGACCAAAACTTGTGTAACATTGCAAGTCAGCCCAGATCGCAATGTTGCCCCATTTTATGGCCATGCAGTAATACTAAATGGGCAGTAGCAAGCCCAAACAAATAAGAATACAAAACAAAAACTCTCATTACAGCATCCCCAAATGGAAAAACTTAACATACTGTTACAACGAGGAGGCCCCTTGCCCTCAACAGCCAGAGCAAAGAGCCCAAACATAATTTGGAAAGACCATTTGAAACAGAGTTTAGCAACCCATGTCACCCAACTGTTGACAAGCAAAGGATGCCCTCTTATCTCTACCCACACTGATGGATGTCTTCCTTTCAAAACATGGTAGGAAGGAAAAATCACGTGGTACATGTATTGATGGCATAATGGCAAACAAGTGATGACACTGTTGCTTGGGGGGGGGGGATACTGGGCCAGAAGGAGCTACTCCTGAGCCAATCAAGTAGAACACATTGCTCAGATGGAAGTCATCCTTCTAATACAAATACATCATGATGCATAAGAAATTAAATGTGCACGTTTATGTTGAAGACACATGACACTGGTGTTTAATAGTAAAAATAATATGATTACATTGTTCATAATATTGTAACATGTTTCGTTACTGAATACGCCGTAGAGATGGTTAATTGGTTTATTTAACAATCTACAAATAACGGCTACAATTAATTATAACAATGTTACGGGTTTCCACACTTTACAACCAAATCTCTTCACACTATCTTGAAGAGTCTTCACGTATTAATAACGCGGGAGCTATACAAGTCTCCCTGAATTGCACACTTTCACTCGTAACACGCCGCTGGCTAGATTCCAACTCTGCTCACAAGCTGCTGCCTTGAGGACTGTTGATAACACACTCTGACTCGTAGGCTTGCTCGGAACTAACTTGTAGGTAGCTGCCTTGAGAACTAACTGTGAATAGCCTTCGCTGCTCCTTATGTAGCCTCGATCGGACAATACAGAAAACGGCCACGTACTAGGCACCACTATGTCTGGTGCCGTCGAGCTAGCAACGCTGTGTACCGCTGTTACTGCCGTCGTCTCTCGCAACCATTGTTTACCTGCGCTGCCTAGCAACCGCGGTACCCCTTGGTGACGTTACCGCTATTGACTCGTGTTGCATAGCAACCAGGATGCTGGGACTCGGCCAACTTCGGCTCTGCTCGGCTCACTTCGGCTGGCGGGGGGGGGAGGAGCGTCATCCATAGCTCAACATGTCACACTGCTCCCTCCTTAAGGCTGTTCATCTCGAATAGCCTAACGGTGCACCCCCGTTCCTTTTCCGTCCCATATCTGTGCTTGCAGTATCTCCTTTTGTTTCGGCTACTCTTCTTTCAGCGACTATTCTTCATCCGTTACATCCGCTCCCCTCTTAAGACAAAGCTCGTCTCGAGCGGTTTCCTTTCAGCTCGCCAGAAGATCACATTCATCCATCGCTTTCTTCCATGGCACATTCACTCTCTCTGGGGAGGCTGGTTCTTCTATTTTACCGGCTCCTCTTCTGTGCCCTGCGTCTTTTTCATTTTGGAGGGGGCCGACCCCTCCACAATGTCCAGTCCTTGATAAAGTTTGTCTTCGGAGGTTCCTCATGTCGACGTAACGGCCCTTGATGCGTTGTTCGTCCTTGCCGACTTCGTCGTTCCTCCTGGTCTTCCAGCCGCTTGCTGGCACGAGACCGTGGCGCCAAGTCCTCTTTCCGGCATCTGAAGGTTCCCTGGGGATTTTCCTTCTTGAAGGCATTTCTCCAACGTCGTGCCACTGTCGTGTGACGGGATGTCTTCTTGCAGGGGGCAGCCAACTTCTTCCGGGATTCATGATCTCCTTGGGTCCAAGATTTCCTGAGGATTTTCCTTCGACGCCATGCCACTCTTGCATGGCGGGACAGCCTCCTGCGAATGATGGCCAATTTATTCTGGGGTCCGCAATTTTCTCGTGTCGGATTCTTCTTATTTCGTCGATTTCAGTCCCTGCGCCTTTTCTTCTTCCGTTCTCTGACCGGCATTACTTCGGCGTCTTGTACGGGTACCTCTAGTAGTTCTGCCGCCTCAGGTTTCCTGTGCATTGAAGCCGGCTTTCCATCTTCTGGACGAGCCTCCATTTCTTGGCAGGCCATCGTCTCTCTGACCAGTATCACTATGGGGACCTCCTCTTCTTGTGCCGTGCCCACTACATCCTGTTTTTCGCTTGGATTTGTCTCCATTGCATCTTGGCAGGCTGTCGTCTCTTCCTGCCAGGCATTCATATTGGTTTTCAACCTCTTGGCTCGCATGGCGGCCGTCCTGGCTTCGATGGCTTTCGTCTCTGCTTGGAAGGCTTCTCTCTCTACAGCCATCTCTTCTCGCCAGGCCTGTCTGTCAGCCTCCCATCTTGCCATGAAATCCTTACGATCTTTCCTCCTATTGGCTTCCAGTTCTTCCAGCATTTTAAGTATTAGTTGAAAGTCTTGCTCCTCCATTTTCTTTTCTTTCTTTTCGTATGCAATACTTCTTCCTGGATCGAGGCGTGTTTAAGCTCGTAAACCAATTCGGACATCAAATTGTCACTTGTCTTGAGTTCGAATCCTGTCGGTCACGTGTGTAAGTCCAAATCCCACTTCTGACACCAGTGTAACGTGTTTTGAGTTCGAATCTCGTTGGTCACGTGTGTAAGTCCAAATCCCACTTCTGACACCAGTGTAACGTGTTTCGTTACTGAATACGCCATAGAGATGGTTAATTGGTTTATTTAACAATCTACAAATAATGGCTACAAAAACTTATTACAATATTACGGGTTTCCACACTTTACAAACCCTACAACTAAATCTCTTCACACTGTCTTGAAGAGTCTTCACGTATTAATAACGTGGGAGCTATACAAGTCTCCCTGAATTACACACTTTCACTCGTAACACGCCGCTGGCTAGATTCCAACTCTGCTCACAAGCTGCTGCCTTGAGGACTGTTGATAACACACTCTGACTCGTAGGCTTGCTCGGAACTAACTCGTAGATAGCTGCCTTGAGAACTAACTGTGAATAGCCTTCGCTGCTCCTTATGTAGCCTCGATCGGACAATACAGAAAACGGCCACGTACTAGGCACCACTATGTCTGGTGCCATCGAGCTAGCAACGCTGTGTACCGCTGTTACTGCCGTCATCTCTTGCAACCATTGTTTACCCGCGCTGCCTAGCAACCGTGGTACCCCTTGGTGACGTCACCGCTATTGACTCGCGTTGCATAGCTACCAGGATGCTGGGACTCGGCCAACTTCGGCTCACTTCGGCTGGCGNGGGGGGGAGCGTCATCCATAGCTCAACATGTCACACTATATTAATGTTAACAGATGTGTCCAGTCATGAATTATATTTATATATTAAAGGTTGAAATGAAGAAAAAGTACAATGTTGAACTTTGTAAAGTATTTGAATTTCAGACTTTAACTCATTCTTTATTACAAAATGTTTCTATCTTCTGCTTCTCACTGGGTGACTGATAGTAATTAGTAATGTTTATATATGTTAGGTATGTTTTCATCCAACAAAACCAGACACACTTGCTTCAGGATCAACTGATGGTTTGATGAACATTTTTGATATCAGTAAAGCATGCGAGGAGGATGCACTTCAACTGAGTCTGAATACAGAATCCTCAGTGGTAAGTTTGTGAAATTTTGTGTTGTCCTTCCATATTCATATATAAAGTTTTGTACTGGTGAGGCCACGCCATAACTCAAATGGTTAGTTGCTGGTTTCCCACCGCAGCGGCCCAGGTTTGATCCCGGGTTTGGTAAAGTGGGATTTGTGGTGGACAAAGTGGCGCTGGGGCGGGTTTTCTCCGAGTACTTCGGTTTCCCCTGCCAATCTTCATTCCACCAAATTCTCCATCATCATAATTACCCGGGGCAGGTACAATAGGCCAATCAGTGGACCCAGTTGGACTCCACCCCCCACTAAGCGAAATTTGTACTGGTGGTCGAAAGCCCTGAAATTAACACAATTTGGGGTTAGCATAGCAGAGACCTGTTGAGCATTAACACGTTACATGAAGTTACAATGGGGTACCCAAAAGAAACCGAACTAATTTTTTTGTGGGCAGAGCTTTTGTAGTACCGTGTTTTGCCACTATGAGCACATAGAGCTAACATTTCTGAGTCGATAAGTCGACTACCGTTGCTTCAAAAGGTAAGGACTAGTTTCGGCAGAGTTTATAGTGACAACTGTTTTGTGTGATCATCGTTTTTGCAATGGCTGATTTTTGTGAACAGCGTGCGGCGGTGAAATTCTGCTTTTTGCTCGGGAAAAGTGGAACAGAAACTCTTGAAATGTTAAAAACGGCATACAAGGACGATGCTATGGGGAAAACTCAAGTGTTTGAGTGGTTTTCCCATTTCAAAAATGGTGAAATGTCAATTGATGACAAACCTCGTTCTGGTCGTCCTTCCACGGCCCAAACACATGAAAATGTTGAAAAAATTCATGAAATCATCAAGGAAGATCGACGACGGACCATTGAAGAAATTGTGGAGCTGTCGGGAGTGACTTGGAGCTCAGTTCAGCGAATTTTGACGGAAGATTTGGGAATGAAAAGGGTGGCTGCGAAATTCGTGCCA